ATCCTGAAACTGGTAAATACTAGTGTCAATCAATCTATGAGCAAGTTTGCCAGTCTATTGAATCTCACCCCTAGAATAGAGCAGTCTGAGAGCAAAATGCAATCATTGATGACGAGTAGGCCTCATAGAGGTGGATATCGAGAAGGCTCCATGATATCTAGTAATGCATATAGACCTAGTGAGTGTAACTTGTTTCGTAGTACATCCTCAACAGATAAGTTACAAGATGCAAAACAAGCACGGTTGTGTTTTACACGCTTGCAAGAAGTTCATACAATGATGAACTGTGAATCAGTGAGCAAGTTTAGTGGTGAGCCAAATGTAAAGTCAGCGTCATCCAGGTCTGACTACGAATTGTGTGACGATAATGGTGCGGTGAAGAAGTCTGTAGTTGCAACTGGTAAGCCATTGTTGAATAGAGTGTCACAGAATAGAGTTACAGTCTCAGAGGTCAGTCCTGACTCCACAAGTTTACAAGGTATCACTAGTCAGAGTGAAGACACAAAACCTTTAATGATTTGTGAGGAGGAACCAAAATTGTCTACTTCTGTTATTAAAGAGTTTGAAAATGATGAGATCGACGGTAAAGTGAATATTTGTGATAATGATCATGATAATGCACAGTTGTCTTTGGCTGATCATGATGAGATGAGGGAAATGCCTACTACTGCTAAGTTGAACAAAGGTTCTGTACAACTTGAACGTGAAGTAGAATTGAATGCAGATGCAGTTGCAGAAGGTATGGATACTTGTCAGACCGTCAGTGTAATTGATCAGCGTGTAGCCCACCTATCATCAGATGATAGTGCTAAACCCGAACTAGTAATTAAAGACAGCAGTGGTGGTAGTCTTGCAGTTAGACAACTATCTGAGAGCCGAACAACAACAGCTTCTGATCCACTGCTAAGTTCATCAACTGGTATAAATCAGTCGTCTTTGGTGTTGTCATCCACAATGAAACAGACGCCCATCAACTCAAGTATCTTGTGCAATGACTATGATAGTATTGGTGCATTTGAAAAGAAGAAAGATATTGCTCAGTTTCGTGAGGATAAGCCAAGTGTAAACGAGAGAGTAATTGTTAAACTGACTTGCATGAATAAAGGCATTTCTAGTTTCAAACTACTATTTGAATGCTATTATCTTTGGTGTAAATTACTCTATGCCTACGGTTGGTTGATCAGATACGTCGTATGTTTGTTCGTCATCTATATTCTACGATACAATGACACGAGCGAGTTGCCGTTCAGATTTGAGGATATAGCTGATAGGAGAAAATCAGCAAATGAACTCTGCGACGATTTTCCAACCTAGAGCGTCAACCTGAGAAGAGTTGTAGGCGTACTGCTGTAAGTCCTACAATTCTTCAAAGGGTAGCGCATCAGTGAGCAGTCCAATGTGCTCGGTGTGTGATCTTGTGCATATGTTCATATTGTATATACTGAATTGATATCATCTGTCATCTAGCTGTTGGTAATTCTGTTTGTGTCCGGACGACTTCCACTTGTATCATCAACCTGAGAAGGAATGTAGGCATACTGCTGTAAGTCCTACGGTTCTTCAAGGGTAGTTTGTCGTGCCAGAATGCACAACATTTGATGTGTTGATTGTACATATGTTTGTGTTAAATAGTTGTGAGTTCCAATTATTGTAATCGCTGGTTAATCTTGTTTGTGGCCGGACATTCCACAACTTACAATCGTCAACCTGTGAAGGGTTGTAGGCGTACTGGTGTAAGTCCTGCGATTCTTCAAAGGAATTACATCGAGACACGATCTGCGAGGTTGTGTGTACTGTTTGTATATATGTGTGGTGTGTCATATCAATTGGTCTTTTTGGATTCATTGCGTTTACTTATTGTTTTCTTATCTTGTTATGCATAATTTTGTTAAAATTTTCGTCGTGATTACTTCTAGAGTTGTTTCGAGTCTTCTACATCCGTGAATAATAATAATGTATATTCTCATATAAACATATAAATTTACATGAAAATGCATGCCATTTTTACAGGCACGATCAAGTATGTTATAATGTCAAATCTTAAATTGTCTACAAGTTAATAATGTTTCAACAGTTAAATATTTGATATATATATAAATACACATTGTCTGAACTAGGCTGTATAGTTATTGAATTGTAAAATTGTCCTCCAGGTTGAGCGAGAAAATCGACTTCGTTTCGTTTTCATCCCGTGGTTGTTGGCATACGATAACCAACCAATATTGAGGTAAGTACAACGTTTACAAGGGATTGAAAACTATTTTTTAGAAAAGTAAAAGTGCTGAGGTGAATCAATAAAGTGTAATGAAATGGGTAAGTCGATTGATTGATGTTAGAGACAGCAGATGGGTCGTATACGCCAGGGAGGCTATTGCTGAGAATGAAATGCATACGGAGATAGTTGTTAGCTGTGGTCCGACACGCCGGGGAGCGGCAGTGCAAACGACTGAGGCTTGCATAAGTCACCGTTACCAGAACTAAGGCAGAATGAGTGACAAGCGATCGCAGTGGTAATTGGTAGTGGGTAGACAAGAGGATGTGCGAAGAGTATCATGAGGTGCTGCTATGGTCACGTTGCGTTCTGGAGGAGACATTCTAGTAAGTGGCGATTGTGTTGGAAGTTGCCAAGGGGATACCTTTAACTGGAAGATGTAGGCCGTCATCGATGTGTGAAATTTCGCTGTGGGTATGCCTGTGACGTGTTGGCTTCTCTGTTTGTTTTCCATTTCAACTCTGTCCGTGTGACCCAGGTTCTTGCAATGGCATCCAAGCCGACGTGTATTGGTCGTGATGGAAAAAAGGGTTGGATCCCCTTTTTGCCGGGGAGTGTCAATGTAGTTGAAGATTGAACGATCAAAACCAACTTCTTCAATTTTCGCGGAGGCATCAATCAGCCAGTCATCGTCTCATCGGTCGCTGTTCAGAAAGAAGTCGGCAGAAAACCGTCAGAAGTAATATTGTGATTTACTATTGTAATATTTCTTCATAGACCTTAGTTGTAAAGTTGGCTATATGTTGGTGTTAGAATAATAATAATAATGTATATTCTCATATAAATATAAATTTACATGAAAATGCACGCCATTTTTACAGGCACGATCAAGTATGATATAATATCAAATCGTAGATTGTCTACAAGTTAATAATGTTTCAACAGTTAAATATTTGTTATATATATATAAATACACTGATTGTCTGAACCAGGCCGTATAGTTATTAAATTGTACAGTTGTCCTCCAGGTTACGCGGGAAACTCGACTTCGTTTCGTTTTCATCCCGTGGTTGTAAGCATACGATAACCAACCAATATTGAGGTAAGTACAACGTTTACAAGGGATTGAAAGCTGTTTTAGAAAAGTAAAAGTGCTGAGGTGAATCATTAAATTGTAATGTAATAGGTAAGTGCAAGTATCATTAATAAATGCATTAATAAAGAAAACTCCCTAGGTTGACAAAGTTCATTTGCAATGTATAATGCTACACGTATATCTCGTACTATCATGATGTCCACTTTTGGTTTTAATACATTTATCCTCAGTTGTGCCAGTTGTTTTTGTTTTATAACTTTTTGTGCATTTAATGCACAACCGTACCCTTCAGAGAGTAGGAATATAATAAGTCATAAAGAGCTGTAAAATGTTAGGTTTAATGGGATATAATGAGGATCAAGTAAAGACGTTATTGGAAAATGAATGAGATAAGACATTGTGAAGTGGTATTTAAAGATCCGACAATGGATAGCAAGTCAATTTATAAGATGCCCCATAAATCTGTGCAGATCCCGCGTGGTCGCATCTCAACAATAGGCTGAGCGAATGGTATATATTTAAAGGTAGAAGCATGATCTGTCAAGGCGTTCATTATTATTTTTTTTCAAGATAAAGATCTAATCCCTCATAAAAATCAGAAATATCTCGAGCCTTTAATTTGTATATTGCTGTTCCTGCAGAATGGGGTGATTCACCTTAGTGACCGCCACCATATCTACTGAGAATGCTCTAATCGGCAATCTGTGTTCTGGTTTTTGCGTCCGTTCGTACTAAGCGTTTCAGAGAAGCTTCGAGGAACAGCGTGAGGCCCAGCGAAGCAAGATCTGGGCATTAACTGTTTACGAAACGTCGCTGACATCTACTATGAATGATTGTGGACTGATTGATAACGTATTCCCAGCACAGGCTCATCTAGTATTTGGCAACCTGCACAGTCTCTGACACTGATGTGATATCCACTTATCCAAGAGAAGCCATGCGCACTGCGTAGTAATCTGCCCTACCCTTAGTAAATATGACCAATTAAATATTTTTTAAAATGACTATGGGCCTATTTGTTCAATGGCTTGCGCTAGGTGGAACATGTTGAGTCATGCTGAGATGGGGCGATGAGCATTATTTAAGAAAGCTAATTCAGGTTTTACGCCTTTAATGACCACGGTGTCGTCTAGGGTGTGCTTTATTCACATTTAGTCTTCCTCGATCAACAACTTTAAATGAAGTCAGACTAGGCTAGGGACGGCTTAAGGGTCGTCCGACTAAAACACAAAAACTATGCTACAAGTCACTGACTTTGGGTCTGAGCAAGATATAGGTTGCCTCGCCAGTGTGTTGAGAATCAATGATTAGGGACTCTTGGTGACATGGTTCAGAAACATTCGAACAGAGAAGGTGCATTTTGAAACCTATCCACTTATCGTCATCTATTGATTCTATCCATCATACTCGTGTTAGACTAATGTAATGTCAGTATTGTTATATTCTCATATTTATGTGTCGCAATTAGCTTTGATGCACTTTTATGAAAATTTCAATGGTATTTGGTTACTTAGGCAAACCAAGTTCTCCAAAAAATTTGGATATTTTGCCTGTTAGCTACATCTTACATCTTATTAGTCAGCCAGATTTGGTAGTTTATATTGGCTACCGATATACAGAAAACTCGTATGTGTTTCTCACGTCTTGCGATCCTATACTTACTTATAAACAGTTATACTTAAATAGGATCAGTTAATGTTGCGATTTATGCATATCAATCATAAACAAATAAAACCTGGAGTTACCTGCCACAGTAACGCATCTTTCAGCCAAATTAAGCTCTTTAGACTTTTGAGAAACCTGGATAAATACTCCTGTTGTGTCTTTCAGTTCTTTAATGAAGCTGCCACCCTTTCCTATAATCATGCCAGCAGTACTGTTGGGTACTAGAATCTTGACCTGAAAATATAAAAGTTTACTATTATAACCCAAAAACAAACACAACCATGCATATAATAATAAACAAGAACACACCCGCCCCCGCGAAAAGATCATTACGCAAAAGTTTAGAAAATCCACAAACTGTCACTCAGCAAAAAGTCGAGTTTGCAACTGAACCAACCATTAATCAACTACGAGACTAATGACATTTTAACTACGGTCAGTGAATATGGGAATACCACACAATGAGAAAAAGGATACAATATGTCTTCAAGTGAGGGGAATGAAGAAAATCAATCTAGGATAATGTACATTCAGAAATAATAATACGAGTGTTATTGATCAAATACAATCAGATGGGAAATAAGACGAGTGTTTTCATAGTCAAAATAAGTAACTTGTTAGAATGTTATGGTATACTTGAAATGAAATATAATTTTAAGATTATTTATTATCTTCCTCTGATTTGACTCATTTATCAAAGTAACTACATCAATAATCTATAGTTTACACGATTTGTAGGAGACTACTATTGTTTCTCAAAAACGGATTTTCCAAACGAAACTTAGCTTCTAACTAAGTCTACTTAGCACTAGGAAAAGGAAAAGTATGTCCTTTCAACTTGCCAAATAAAACGTGATCTAGCAATAACGATGCATATCAATACCTTTCTTAAGTGATATATGGCTTGAAAGTTTTACTTTCTAAGAGCCCCATCACCTTAATAAAGGATGGTTGATTAGCATTTACCAATATGCTCCACTAATAACGCAGACGAAGTATCAAGATGTCTATCGGTAGTGAGGAATATTTCTTAATACTGTTTAGTTTTCATTGACATCATACGAGTGGGAAGAAGTTAACGATAAAATAAGCACCTCATAAGCTGTATTTATCTATCTATGGTGGAACCAGATATCAATGTTTGATGTAAGACTTAAGAATGACAAGTGATTTTGAAATAAAAAAATTTCTGGCTCTGAGTGCAAAAATGTTTTGTGGAAAGTACTGTGCAGAATGATAGCGACGAACCTTCAACCAGCAAAGAAGATAAAGCCTGGAATGTCACTGAACACTGTCTCAACAAAGTGCATCAATACAGTCAATGTATCTACTAACCGACCGTTTATATTACTATTATTGTTCCCTCAAGTTCCGAGTGGAGCATAGAGCTTCAACAACACATCTCCACTTTCTTCTATTTTCCGCTGTCCTCTTTAGCTGGGCTAACGACTCCGGATAATCCCTCATCTCCTCCATGTCACCCTTGAACGACCCACTTGTCGTTCCCTATTCGGATTCTACTCGAGAGCTTGATACACGATGTCATTTCACGGTCTCGTCAGAGTGTGCCCTATCCATCGCCATTTTCTCCGACATATTTCTTGAATGATAAATCCTTGGTTGGTTTGTTCCCATAGTTTTTTGTTGCTAATTCCTTTTGGCCAGTTTCTTTTACCTAGTTCACACGCTTACCAGTTTTCTAGCCGGTCTCAAGTCCGGGAAAAGAGGAAGGTTGGGCGTGGGGCTAGCGACCTGACCCCCGAAGATCACTCAAACTGCTACAGAAACTTCAGCGCACAGAAAAACTGACTGTTTACGTAAGGGCCTATGTTGAACATATATGTAAATGTCTCAGTGACTGATTAACGAAAGTGGTTCACAGATATTTCAAGTAGTTAGTATCGTAAATTTACGTTGTTTTCACCATCCATAATTTTTGAGGGTTCAATTATTTTTTGATAAGTACGAAGGTAACAGTCTGATAAAACCGAATAACTGAGTTGTCATTGTAGAACTTTGCACAAAAGTGCAGCAGTTTAAGTTGCTGCACGCCATATAGCGCACAAAGGTAGAGGTAAAATTCAAAGCAACTATAATGAACATAGATGTACAGGAGAAACAAACAGTCCAACAAATGAAGGTGGAAATAATTTCATCCCCATAAACTAATTAATCATATGAATGTGGAAAAAAAGAAGAGTATTGTGAATTTGATCACACAAATACTTTGATTTTAGTGTAAACTGCTTTCTGGAATATATTGACCCTCTTCGCGTCTTAGCCTAGTTACTGCGACAGAATTGTGTTCATCACAAGACCATTGATAACGCACCACATAATTTGTGTTGTTTACATGGCAATCTGATCTGATCTGTTTTCGACATAGAACTTTGCACAAATGTGTGGAAGTTCAAGTCGCCACATTCCGTGTAGCACGCGAAGCAAGAGAAGAAAGTACAAGAAAAGCATAATAGAAACAGTGAGCAGAGGTGTGAGACAAAGGAGTAATAAAGAAATACAAAACAGTTTCATTGAAGATCATAAGTCACAGGGAGTGGATGCATCTGCGCCACTGAGAACGATTTTGAGCCATGTCACCAATGGCAATAAAATATGACTTCGTTAATTAAGCAGGAGTAAGTGTAGGCGAAGTATCCCGATAACCCAAAAGTTATTGAAGCACTGTTTTAGCTTACAAGGCGATTTCCAAACACAATTACAGAGATGACTAAATAACACTTGCATAATGATGACTATCAGTTACTTTCCCACAAAAATATCGTGTTTCACCACCACCACCACCTTTGGCAAATGTAAATGAAACGTCAAAAACAATGAAGTCAGCGAACAAGATTTTTCAGGTAGATACAATCGAATGATGAGTGTCTGGGTTTTCCTTATTATTAAAAATATTACCGAAAATTTGGATATACACTAAATTTTAGCATACTATATGAGGTAAGATAATTCCGTACCATGAACACTGGATGAAATATCTAATTATTACCTGTTTATGCCTCTCAGTAGGTATTCGACCTTCGCAGCCAGTTCTTGGAACAGATTCTGGTTTCTCATAAATTTTTTCAGATATATATTGAAATACACGGAGTATGCTTTCAATAGTACCAACAATTAAGCACACTCGTTCAGTTGTACCTAGAAATTAGTTTTTAAACCTAAGCATTGGATTTCGAATACATACCTGGATAGAAGGCATTTGCTTTGGACATCTTCACTTTGGCTGATGTTTGATTTTGAATCTCTGTTATTGCTTCACCGCCTTTGCCGATGATTGCACCAGCAGCAATCGACGGTACCAGAATTTTGAAGTGAACATTACCTGAAAGTTTAACAAAAAACTGAGTAATCAATATATTTAGTTTGGCTTTAAAACGTAACATTTCACTTCAGGAAACAATATAGATATGTACAGTGAGATGAGTAATTTTACTAAAGACTGAAATATAAAGTCAATTTCCTAGACCACACCTGATATAGTAAATTACAGTTACGTCAGAAATCATACCTGAATGAGGCCCAGTCACTCAAATAATCAGCTCTCCAGATACCTTATAAAAATGTCTACTCTCGAGTAACACAGCATTTAAATGTTTACCCGCTTTAATTACATGATAAAGTGGGTAAATTTCAGGCTCTATGCCCAAAGTTCAGAGAAAAACTCTTTTAGCTTTTAGTAGAACGTGTTCGATGGCTCACATGGTGCATCAGTCACAGCAATTGATTTCACTTTAGTAAGTATTGTCCCATATACTCTCAATCACCAGTGTAAGTCTTTATTGGGGATTTAATCCAATACAGTAATTTGGACTCTAGCGCCTGCGATACTGATAAAGTTGGATACCGTCATACTCCTACGGGTAAGCGTATATAATACAAAGTAACATAGCTGAGAAAATGTTTTTTACGTCAATTCACTTGCATCTGGTAGCAGTCTTTTAAATGGAGCAGGCATCAACTGTGAGGATTTCCAAAGCTCTTGTAAAAAGGAAACTGCCGTCTTACCCTCATCAAAATGCAAATGATGTTGGTGACCAACTGTTGTCTAAATAGATATAAGAGAACTGCTATATAAGTGCAATCATTAAGCATCTAAAATTTGTAGAGACTATAGAGCAAAATAACGAGTGAGTGAAGTAAGGACGAGGACCACGATAAAGAATTCAACAAAGAGGATTGTTCAAATTAAAAATAATAATTTGAGAAGGGTTTCAAAGCATTTAAATTGAATTCACATGTTGAACTAGATGTCATAGTTTCATGTCACTAATTTATTGAAACACAATGGCTTAAATAACTGGAACTATGATTCTGGGCTAATGAATGACTGCTAGTGCACATTATCTAATTAAGTTCGATTTACTCGGTATTGCAATTTCTAGACTTTAAGCGCCGAGAGTTTCAACAAAAGGCCTCCAAGATCTGTCACGTGTAATGATAGCAGTAGTAGGTATCACAGAAAACCAGGACTTCAGAAAAACGCGTGATACATGCCGACGTTCTGCAATCGATTATTGGCTTCCGGTCCGACCTTTTACGGATGTGAGGTGTTCATGATTCGCAACGCGGAACAATACTCTACATATTCTAGGTCGCCTTAGCATGTCCGACGACTTCTTATAAGTCTACTCTGAGCATCCATATTCCAATTACTGTTGTTTGTGAGTCTGTTTTTAAATGATGCACTTTATTTTGCTTGTTTATTTCATGGACAGAAATCTGATATTATATGCAAACATAGTGGAGAAAACTCCATTCTCGTATTAAATTTGGATGAACACCAAGACATTTGCACAGCTAAACTTTAGAAATCAGTTAATCTAGCCATGACAGGTGGGTTATGTTCCATTCTACCAAAAGTACTGTCACATGGTACAATAAACCGAACAACTTACCGCAACACCACATGAAAAGATAAAAGTTACTTGAACATCATTTATAAACCACCAACTGGTCTCCTACCCAAAAAGAATGCTGCTATATTTTATCCAAAATGGCGAGGAAATACATAAATCCACAGCTACTGTTGTGAAAACACTCAGTGGGCGTAGGAGCCAACAAAGTAATCCTTTCAAAGCATATGTATACTTCAGATGGGCACGGAGACTCTGTAGAATACGTCATAATCCAAATCACTGCCTATACAGCGCCAATAAACCTGGATACCTATGATATAACGAAAACATGCTGAAAGCTGCATCTCAGATCAAGCTGATTCCTTTGATGGTAATGATCTACTCCTGCATGCCTTATTCGACATCTTGAATGGAATGGTTCGCAGTTATTCTCGTAGTACATCGAAAAGAATAAAAAAATTCACCGGTTGCTGAATCAAATTACTTCTCTGCATGTTTAACTGTATTCTAACTGCTACGATCAATTCCAAACCATTTATCTCATAATCAATCAAATTCCATGAACGATCCAATTCTACCATTTGAAGACGCTGGCGAACATGCTGCAAACGAGTACTCACGATCTGAAATGAAGAAGCAACTGGTTTTCAAACAGTTTTCCAACATTTTACTAAACTTGCGAGCACAGTCCGCCATGCAGACAAAAATGGAGCAAATGAAGAATTCTGGAATTGACCTCGGCACCATTTGATGCAGTAAAACAACCCAACATGACCTTATCTAGTTTTCGCCTCCACGATCAAATTTCTTTCCTGTTATGAAACTACGATAAGACTGCTGAAAAATGGAATAAATATATCACTGATCACAACGTAATACATCAAAAAACTTTAAGCCAAGGGTGCTGTTCACAGCAAAGTTATATAGGAGAATTGACTTCAAGCCTTATTTTTCCCAGATATCTATATTACATTCATCTGATGTCTGGGTTTTTTGTTAATGCAAAGACAATATTTCTATATCTCTTTATGTGCTACACAAACAGACTTTATAGCAGACTGTTCCGACTAGCTCTAATGTCAGAAAGGACAACCGAACTGTAAATTCATCATACATCAAATTACGTGCAATATATATAACAACTTATCCATGCCTGTACAACAGGTATTTTCCTGCATAAACAGGAAGGAATATATTATTATTAAAACAATATTTATGCATGCCTATACAATTGGTGTACCCTACATAGCTAGGAAAAAATGTACCTTATTATATTATCCTTACTAAATATGCTTATGAATATTACGTGTAACTTATAGAATTGATGATGCCTGTAAACTGGCGTCCCTCATGTAAAAAATGAGAATATATATTATTATTATTTTTACTTCACACAACAGTCGAAACAGATGTTAAGACAACTGAAAGTTATTCCTAGTTCTTGAAGTGACACTGTGGACTTTACCACGTAAAATTATCGTATTTAAAGTTACTTGGCATTTCCAGTAACATTTGAACATTGAAATCCATTCGGTATCGAACAATACATATTTAAGCATTGGAAACGAACGCATCCGAAGATGCAAGACGACGCACTTAAAACAGACACTAGGTTTCTGACCGTTTTAATATAACTACAAATAACTTCAGATTGGGTAGCAGGCAGCGTGTGACTACTGTCACTGCGCCTTGAGATAATAGCACATGATATATGCTGAGACCACCTTTCATTATTATCGATTGAGAGACGACTAAAGATAGCGAAACTCGTAAGATCCATCGACTATTATATGTATGGGCTCATTAATACACGTACTAAACCTATACGATGTTGTTATGCAATTGTTTTTACTTGTTGTACTTAATACCGCACCTTTGGCTGGCTTCAGTGGAGTGACTTCACATATTTTTGATGCTATTTCTCCTTTGTGATGTACTGCATCGCCGTTTACTTCGTCCACATTCACGTGCCCAGCTCCGTCCTCTTTGGTCATCTTAGTGTCATTTTCTTTGAATACCCCACCTTTAGTGTCAAGTCAGCAAATATTCAGTTGTCCAATGAATATAACCTAATATACATTATTCATAAATAGACCAGTTTTCAGCTCCAGAGCATGCATTTACCTGGGATGGAAATCTTTATATAGGATTTATTTGAAAAAGAGTTTAATTCACATTTCTAACGTATAGAAAAGGAAATTCTGGTATCTGATCTGTGCATTGCAACACTACAGTCTCTTTTAATCCTGTCTTACATGTCTGCTGTCTATCACTTTTCATATTATTAGCTTCAGTTAGTCTTCTGAATTCCAATAAATTCTGGAAAAATCAGGTATGGGCGAAGTAACGAAAGTTGTATGATCAGTTTCAGATATTAAGGATAGTATGTTGTTGCCTATGTTAATCCCTGCTATGTATATATATATATTTGCGGAGACCTAATTTTTCTTTGAGAGCATTCATGGATGGAGCTGAGACTAGTGAATTGGGTACGGAGTTCTGGTCGCTAACTACTCTGTGAGCGAACCTAAATTCCCCACGTATATCATTCGCTGCGGTTTGAGATCCTTTTTGTGGTAACCTCGTAAATTTATCCGAGAAAAAGGGAAAAGGTTAGAGAGATCAGTCCTCAAATTACCCCTTAATATATAGTATGGCGGAATTAAGCCACTCCCACTCCCTAGGTATAGTAATGGGAAGAGACTTAGATGTCACATCATCTCCTCATAAGGGAGGTGTGAAATGCTGCTGACTGATTGCTTGTATGCAGTATTCTAGATGAGGTTTGATGTATTTTGCACTGAATACTTTGAAAATAGACTCGTCTAATTGTATGGAACCCTTCGAAGCGCCCTTAGGATCCGAAAAGCCTTAGTTAGAGCTGCATTAAAATTTGCAGTTGTTTTCATATCACAGGCAGTAGTAATCCTTGAGTCCGTTTGTCCATTGACATGAGGCAGTTCTGTATCTCCCAGGCAGCACAACGTTTAAGGCTTCTAACCTAAGTGCATTACTGCGATTCTCTTGGAATTAATTTTCATACTCCAGAGGTTATATCATTCAGTTAGTTTATCTATATCACTTTATAAGACCTACCTGTCGTCGTTGCTAGTTACAGTTTTCCATATATAAATAACATACGCAAGTAATAGCGACGATGAGTTGATAGTTTCTGGTAGTTCATTTACGCATACTAGGAATAGCAAGGGGCCTGTTATAGTACCCTGAGATACTCCGCTTATTCCTGTTTTCCACCCTGACAGTACACCATTAACCCTCACGCTTGTGGATGGAGTTGTAATTGATCACTTAAAATTTATAAAGCTGTAGTATTGCCTCATGTGTCATCCAATCCTTTTTCTTGGCAGCTGACTGACTGCTGAAAATACATTCACAGAAATGCGAAAAGTGATGCAGGAAAGAGTTAGTCCATTTTGTACTCCCCGGGGTTTTTGAAATGCTGGCATGATTAACGCTTGTTAAACAAAGAAATGCTTCCAGGGCGCCATTTTGGTCTGGCTGCTGGTTTTACTAAGTTCGGAATTTTTCCTTTTCTGTGATTATCTACCCGTTAATGATTAACAGACAGACGTCTCAAATATTTGACCTCTTGTTAAATCTTTATAGCTTTCTGCTAGCAAACATTTCGTTGGTACTTAGTTCTTTAATCTTTCATTTTTTGTCCAGTGGCACTAATTTTTGTCCTAATGTGTATGTGACTTTCACATTCTTCTGCCGCGTTATGCGAATATATGGGACCTGTCACTAATATGAGTCAGACAGCAACCATTAAACTATATGGGGCGGAAAAAATCAAAAGATCATTTCAATTTGTCCAGGTTCTGGACTTATCCTCTCTTCAAGGCAGACGTAAAATAGATGCGGGAATGTGATAGACTTTTATTTGTTTGTGTCCTGTTAGTTGGTCGATTTATTTGCGAAGATTCCGTCCCTCATCTTGGCAACTACCGTGCAAGCTTAATTATTTATTGCACTCATTTATGAAGCAAGAAAGTTGTGTGAGTACTTCAGTATGAATATGAGCAATAATTTGTGCTCGAAACGTCACCAGTAAATATTCCGAATAAGAAGGGGATAGCAGCACTATGTCATTGCCTTCCTTGAAAGCAGTAACTTTGAAATGGGAAGAACATTGTCAATCACGTCTCATAAACCGTTAATGCCCAGCTCTCGCTACGCTCGGGCCCACGCTGTTCTTTGAAGATTTCTCAGAAACGCTTAGTTATAACGGACGCAAAAACCAAAACACCGATCTGCCGTTTGATATTTCTGTATTGTTACACCAACATATAAAAGGAATAAGCGAACTAAGTAAACTAAGGTCTGAAAACAAATATTACAATAATAAATCTCTGTATTACTTCTGACGATGTTTCACTCTTCTTTCTGAACAGCGACCGATGAGACGATGACTGTCGTATTGATGCCTCCGCGAAAATTGGGGAAGTTGATTTTGAGCAAACAACCAAGAATTGATCGTTCAATCTTCAACTCCATTGACACTCCCCGGCAAAAAAGGGATCCAACCCTTTTTTCCTTCACGACCAATGCACGTTGACTTGGATGCCATTGCGAGAACCTGGGTCACACGGACAGAGCTGAAATGGAAAACAAACAGAAAAGCCAACACACCACAAGCATACCCACAGCACAATCTCACACATCGCTGACGACCTGCGCCTCCAGACAGAGACCTCCTCTTGACATCTTGCAACACAATCGCCACTTGCTAGAATGACTCTTGCAGAATGCAACGTGACCATGGCAGCACCTCACGATACTCTACGCACATCCTCTTATCTACTCATTACCAATTACCACTGAAATCGCTTGTCACTCATTCTGCCTCAGTTCTAGTAGCGGTGACGCATGCGAGCCTCAGTCGTTTACACTCTTTCTCCCCGGCGTGTCGGACCGCAGCTAACAATTATCTCCGTGTGCATTTCATTCTCAGCAATAGCCTAGCCTCCCCGGCGTATACGACCCATCTGCTGTCCTTAACATCAATCAATTCATTCATGGATGTAGAAGACTCGAAACAACTTCAGAAGTAATCACGACGAAAATTTTAACAAAATTACGCAATAACAACAAGATACGAAAACAACAAGTAAACACAATGAATCCAAAAACACCAATTGATATGACACACCACACGTATATACAAATAGTACAAACAACCTCGCGATCATGTCTTGGTGGAATTCCTTTGAAGAATTGCAGGACTTACACCAGTACGCCTACAACCCTTCTCAGGTTGACGATTGTAAGTTGTGGAATGTCCGGACACAAACAAGATTAACCAACAATTACATCAATTGGAACTCACACAACTATTTAACACAAACATATGTACAATCAACACATCAAATGTTGTGGATTCTGGCACGACAAACTACCCTTGAAGAACTGTAGGACTTACAGCAGTACGCCTACATTCCTTCTCAGGTTGATGATCCAAGTGGAAGTCGTCCGGACACAAACAGAATTACCAACAGCTAGATGACAGATGATATCAATTCAGTATATACAATATGAACATATGTACAAAATCACACACCAAGCACATTGGACTGCTCATTGATGCGCTACCCTTTGAAGAACTGTAGGACTTACAGCAGTACGCCTACAACCCTTCTCAGGTTGACGCCCTAGGTTGGAAAATCGTCGCAGAGTTCATTTGCTAACTTCCTTCTATCAGCTATATCCTCAAATCTGAACGGCAACACGCCCATGTCATTGTATCGTAGAATATAGATGACCAACAAACACACGACATATCTCATCAACCAAGTATAGAAACAGAGTAATTTACACCAAAGATAATAACATTCAAATAGTAACTTGAAACTAGAAATGCCTTTATTCGTGCAAGTCAATTTAACAATAACTCTCTCCTTTACACTTGGCTTATCCACACTAAACTGACCATTGATATTCGTCCTTTCAAACGAACTGATACTACCATAGTCATTGCACAAGATACTTGAGTTGATGGGCGTCTGTTTCATTGTGGATGACAGCACCAACGATGACTGAGTGACACAAGGTGATGAACTTAGTGGTGGATCAGAAGCTGTTCTTGTTCGGCTTTCAGATAGTTGTCCAACTGCAAGATTACCACCACTGCTGTCTTTCACTACTAGTTCGGGTTTAGCACTATCATCTGATGATAGGTGGGCTACACGCTGATCAATTACACTGACTGTCTCACAAGTATGCACACCTTCTGGAACTGCATCTGCGTTCAATTCTACTTCACGTTGTAGTTGTACAGAACCTTTATTTAACTTAGCAGTAGTAGGCATATCCCTCATCTCATAATGATCAACCAAAGACAACTGTGAAGTATCATGATCATTATCACAAATATTCACTTTACCGTCAACTTCATCATTTTCAAACTCTTTAATAACAGAAGTAGACAATTTTGGTTCCTCCTCGCAAATCATAAAAGGTTTTATAACTTCACTCTGACTAGTAATACCTTGTAAACTTGTAGGGTCAGAACTGCACTCTGAAGCAGCAACTCTATTCTGTGACACTCTATTCAACAACGGCTTACCAGTTGCAACTACAGACTTCTTCACCGCACCGTTATCGTCACACAATTCGGAGTCAGGCCTGGAGTTTACATTTAGCTTATCACTGAACTTGCTCACCGGTTCACAGTTCACTTCTGTATGCACCTCTTGCACACGTGTAAAACAAAACCGTGTTTGTCTTGCATCTTGTAACTTATCTGTTGAGGATGTACTACGAAACCTGTTACACTCACTAGGTCTATATGCATTACTAGACATCATGGAGCTTTCTCGATATCCACCTCTCTGAGGCCTACTCGTCATCAATGATTGCATTTTGATCTCAGACTGCTCTATTCTAGGGGTGAGATTCAATAGACTGGCAAACTTGCTCATAGATTGATTGACACTATCTTTTACCAGTTTCAGGATATCATCAAACTTTGGCTCGATACCCTCATCCTCCATACGGGAGCTCATCTTC